TTGTATATATAATATAAATCATTCATTTTATAGGCCTAAGTACAGTACCGGTATGTAGTTTCACAACTGTGATCTATAGGCCTCTAGTAAATTAAAATTCTGTGCTTTATGTATATTTTTGATTGAATAACATGATTTTCGTAGATTTTCAATATACTTTAAGCCTATTTTAAATAATGTGACATAATAATAAATCTTTTTATTCTTCCGTCATTTTTCTCTAATTTCCCTAGTTTGTTTAAGCTGTCCCAACTCTTTTTTGGAGCCTTTTGGTTAATCAAATAGATCCCCCTAATTTCACACGTACGTATACCATTACAACATTTTAATTGTTTTCCCCAGGGGCAGCTACATTTTGGCAAGACATATTTGATTGCTCTCTTGTTTGACGACAATACACTACTGGGGTGGATGCAGGATTTGGCGGTAGGGGTGCGATACTATTTTTGATTCTTAACACCTTTGGAACTTGGACCTCAACGTAAGGCCTACTGCTAGTGCTAATTTAAATTAATAATCTTTCATTGGAATGAGTCATCCTTTTGTATATATTTGTAAGTACTGTATTATCAATTGAATAGATCAGAGTCAGAAGCGGATTTGGGGGAGGGAACCGGGCCGGCTCCAGCTTTAGGAAAGTAAAAAAAAAAAAGAAAGGAAGAAAAAAAAAGAAAAAAATTAAATTATCGCACAAATTGCCTTGGGCGTCTAGAAAAAATTTCGCGGGGCATGTCCTCGGACCCCCTAGGGTACTGGCGTTATCTCGATCGGCCCCACTTTCGGACATTTCTGGATCCCGCCCCTGAGAGTGGACCAGTATTTTCCCACGTCTTGCTCTATTCTGGTCGTGTAATTAATGGTACGTTTGTTTCGGTTTTAGAGTAAAATTTGTAATAAATAAATCTTGTGTAGGCTTTATGTTATAGTACTGCACGTTCATTTGTTTAAATATTCATTTGTTTCCGGACCTTTCCCAAGTATGAATCGAAGAGCAACTGACCAATCAGAACTCGGTCAGTTACGTGTTTACGTCATAAGTTGACGTAAAATAATTTAAGTTGTGAAACCTTAGCAACAATCCAAGGGGCGGGGCTTAGTGGAACTGTCCACTATACAATACAGTTATCGGAATTTAATATACTGTACACTAATATGAACTATAATTGTGTAGTCATAATCAAAGAGAAATAGTTTAATTTGAGTGAATGTCCAGCTTGGTGGTTAGTATACAGCACACACATTTCACATACCCAATGCACCAATTTGATAATCCTAATGCTTTCTATGGTGCTAATTTAAAAAACAGGCCACAAAAATATCTACACATTGCATGTCCTGTAAATATCTATTATTTATGTTCTCTATCGCAAACAATGACAATAAAAAATGAAGGAAAAATAGTCTTCAGCTAAATCTTTTTTAAAAATTTACAATTTATTAATTCAGCACTTCTTATCAATAGCACATATTATAGGAAAGTAAACAAACGGAAAAATTAACAAAAGCAAAAAAAAAATATTCAAACCTTAATGAAACACATCTTTTCTCCCCCACCCCCCACACAAGCATTACGCCATGTCATACTTTGTGCTGCATTTTAATGGTTATTTATACCATATCGTTATTTAATGGTGCATTTTAATGGTTAAAATTTTAATGGTTTTAGTGGTGCATTTTAGTAGTGACCATCTCATTATTTAGTGGAGCACTCCAGTGGTTATCTTGTGTACTCTCATATAAAATGGTGCATTTTAATGATTACCTTCCTGATACCATGTAATATTTTGGTGGTGCATTTTAATAGTGATCAGACATGTCATATGTAATGGTGCATTTAAAAGTTATTATACAGATATAGAGTAACTCAAATTATTTCTAAGTCGATCTTATTTTACATGTCAAATTGTGTTTTCCATTAATTAGCGATTTGTAAGTCAAATTTTATCCAAGTCGAACAATTTTCAATGTAATTTTGGATTAGACTTGGACAAGTTTAAATGCATTTAGTGGTGCATTTTAATGGCTACAATTTAATGGTTTTAGTGGTGCATTTTAATAGTGACTATCTCATTATTTAGTGGTGCACGTCAATGGTTATCTTATATAAAATGGTGCATTTAATGGTTATTTAGACCATGTCATTATCTAGTGGTGCATTTTAATGGTTATTTAGACCATGTCATTATCTAGTGATGCACTTCAATGGTTATCTTATACTCTCATAAAATAGTGCATTTTAATGGTTACTTTCCTAATTTTGGAGGTGCATTTTAAAGGTGACCAGCCATGTCATATGTAAATGTGCATTATAATGTTATTATACAGATATATGTATCGAACTCTATAATGTCATTAACAGTAATTACAGAATATCTACACAACAATTCTTAAAATCTTATCAAATATAAAAGTGTATCAAAAATATAAACAATGAATCAAATTATAAGCACACCCACACTGGTGTATACTTATCCATTGGTGCTTTGGTTTCTCAAGCTACCAATAAAGGCACATTCCACAATACAGGCATGATTTCTGGGAGACTGTCTCCCACTGTAAATGGGAGACTATGTGTTGAATCAATAATACTGGCTTGGTTTTCAACTACTGTATTTCAGTAAAAGGCAAATCTTAAGATTGGAATAAAGTCTTGTAAAGTCTTCATAATATAATTATAAAAATATAATCTTGCTTTGTATAAAATGTTTTTATTCCTTTGGCTTCTTCTTTTTCATTGCTTCCTTCACTTTAATTCCAATTGTTTGTTTTTGCTTCTCATCTGTAGTTTTAGCTCCTCTTTTTATCTTCTTTTTTATCGAAGCCACGTCATCCTCATCGTCTTCTCCTCTTCCTCTTCTACGTCGCCTCGTTTCTGAGGATGGTCCGCCAACACGCGAGGATTGTGCTCGCAAGGATTCCATAAATTGTTCATGTTTTTGGAAAGCATTCTCATCATCAGTCCACACCAAAACATGATATCCTGAAAGTATAAAACTCATGATTAAGATAAGATAGTGATTTATAAGAAAATTACTCACATTTCTGAACCTTCCTGGACTTCCTAAAGTTGCGACAAATAATTTAAAAATAATTATAATTTCTAATTACCTGTAATGAATTTAAATAAATTATGGGCTTAATTTTAGTTACATAATACAGTAGTGTGCGGCTCTTGATGTCAGAACTGAAAACAAAATGTTTGTGCCTCCGACCATGAAAACACTGATTAAAATGCCTCCAGCACCAAATTTTATCTGTACACTATATAGCCCAACAGTCTATTTTTTAAAAATGTTTCCCCACCAAAATGCCTTTAGGGACATTCATGATGCCACGACTGCCGGTCGTTTTCCAGCCCTGCTAGATGTTTCAGTTTAGTGTGTAGTGATTTGTCTTGCCTTAGGCTAAATATGAATTGGTGGGAAATCATTAGCAGGGTTTGATCCTACAGTAGCACTCAGGGATTCGGATTTTCTGAAGCAAACATCTTAATCATCTTCCAAAAAATGCAACTTTAAAGGAAAAAAAATGATGATGTGGAAAGAAAAACCAAGGAACCTAAGATTAACTTGCTAGCATGGGAGATAAGATAATAGGAGATAAGTTCTATGTGTATTGGCGATATCAAAATATTGGACTTACCCATTCCAGAGACCAGAGTGTCAGTCATTGGGGAAAATAAATTCAACTGAAAAATATAAACAAAAATAACTAAATAAATATACTGATATTAAATATTCTGTATTTGGTACAGACACATGAAGAGAATAGAGGAAGATTCGGTAAAGTGGGAAGTGAAGCAAGTACAGATGGGCAAAATGAAGAGGACAACCTAGAAAGCAATGGACGAACTGTGTCCCAGATGATGGTAGGTGGTTGATCTGAGCAGAGTCAGTGACAAAGGAGGAGAGTGGTTTTGAGACGACCCGTCCCCTTGAAGGGACAAACGGAATGACGGTGATGAAATATACTGTATAAATATATACAATTATAAACAAAATGTACAATAATAGTAGACCTAAACTGCCCTATGAAAGATCCTACCGATACAAGTCCTTCAGCTCTTGGATCCAGTAACTGGCAGATTATCTCGCCAGTATTCGCATCGAACAAGTCAATAGTTCTACATTCTCCTGAACAGTAACCAGGGAAATTTGGATCTGGGTAACGACCGACAACAATTACATCATGCACAGGATGCCAAGAAGCCTGAAAAGGTATTTCAAAAATACTTATCATTTCTTTTACAATTAGACACCAATAATAGATGCATAATTAGAATGGAATTATGTGATTCTCAAGAATGTGTCAATTCTCAATATGAATATTTTAATAAAAAGGCAAATATTTATTCATATAGCATTATTTGCATTTTGAAAGTGACAAGGTCACTCTCTGCCCCCAAAACTTGACAATAATTGAACAAATATTTTCAATAGTCCTGACAGTACTTTAGCACTCTTACCTTAATTGGAGTAATGTGCTGAAAGAACCGATGAGGATGAACGATTGTCTGATAGTTTTCCGGCCAATAGGGACCAGAATATATCCTCAACTCACTATGCTGATCAGTCGTCAGTAGACGAGAACCATCTGGGCTGAAGTACGCTGCAGTAAAATACAAAGATTGAATGAAAATAACAACTTTAAAGTTAAATACTGAAAAATAAAATAGTGCTTAGCATTCCTAGCAAGTCATGTAAACCAGTACAAAAATCTTACCAGAGTTAATAGGCTTTGTGTGTTCTAAGTTATGGACAAAGCTTTTGTTATCTTTTATCATCCTTACATCCCATAATTTCACAGTCCTATCACAAGATGAGGTCACAAACAGCCAATCACAAGTCGGATTGAACTCGCAGTGGTTGACCTTCATTTTCTGCAACCGATGGCTCCACACCTGTTGAGCCAAAGAATATAAATCTGTCGTGATAACAATAAGCACTAATACAACTCAAGATTATCAACTTTTCTTTGAAAAAAACTCTGGTATGCCCATATATAGTCATAATGTGCCTATATACTGTATGGTCATTATGTAATGTCATCATTACTATATTTCAGCATGTCACATGTTTTGTTGGTACTACTATCATAAAACATAAAAATTAAAATGAACTGAATAATTAAAAACATTACCTTCTCTCCATGTCTTGTCATAAGGGTCACTTGACCATTATTGTTACCAGCAAGTAAGAGGTTGCTCTTGAAGTTGACGTCTAGGCTACAATACCAGAAACTGAAACCAAAAGTAAGTCCTAATGAAAGTGGAAACTGGCGGTTAACTAATGTAATGTAGTTAGATTTATAGAGTGCTTTACACCGAAACGGTCTCAAAGCGCTTGAGGTGTGGAATGGCTCTTACAGTAACTTGATTCTCACCTAAGTGTCTCTTCGCGTCTGAGCTACCCAGTAAACTGGTACCAGCTACTCTCGTCTGTTCACAGCAGGGGATGGAAGGACCAGTACACTGGGGTTACCACTTTTCTCGAAAGATGCACTGAGTTCTTTACAGTGCACATGAGCCTAATTATGTACACTGGGCCTACGGTTTATCGCATTATCCGAGAAGACTTGTTCCACCACCAGAACCATAGACGAACATGCCGTTCGAACCAGCACCGATATTATAGCTGTACGTTGCGGCGCCCCTGCTTTTACTGCTTGGCCATCCAACTCGCCAACTATCTTTGCAGGACATAAAAATCCAGTAAATACATTCACACTAGACTCACCAGTGGCTGGTCTAGGGTATACATTTCTGTGGGCAAATCTGTTTGACAGGGAGTCTGACAATGGGAGCAGCTCCAGTGGGCCAAGAGTTGAAACCATGTATGGCGGAGGTTCTAAAGAATCTGGGCAATTTGTGGAGATTGTGTTCTGTGATTGTTGGTTTTGTATTTGGTTTGGTTGCCAAAGTGGGGATTGGCCCATTTGAAGAGGATGAAGTTCCAATCTCCATGGCTGGCACAGTGTACTGGTCCATCTCCAGTCCCCTGTCCGGCAACAGAAGGAGCGCTCACGACGCGGCCCATGTCAGGTATACATCCTATCTGCGAATCCTTCTACCACACTACGTAAGCTAGATCATACACACTAGCTACGTAGTGACTCGATAAGAAGAAGAAAAGAAGGCGGCTGGCACAGTCAGTGAACATCACTCTTACATAAATAATCATCTATACTATTAAAAATCCTTTGTTTTCAGTTTCAGCACTTCATGCAAAGACTTACCTCCAGTCATTAGTGTTTAAAAACACCTGTTTTGTGCGACCCTCAAAACCTTGCCTGACAACCATGCCATTAATCGATGCAGTGTAAATATGGTCTGGTGCGTCAAGGTCAAATTTCATTGCAGTGATACAGCCTCCCATTCCAATCTGTAGAAACAAATAAATAGCACCCTTAAAGATTAAATTTTAGAGTGAAATTTTGTTCCACTTACTTAATTAAAACTAGAGCTGAAATGGCATTTGAAAGAGATAGTATCATAAGTAACCAATATTTTGAATGCATCACTGATGAAAAAATTCTAAATTTTAATACAACAATAATACTAATACTTGAATAGCCTAAATTTAATAGATTTATAGTTCTTAGACTTACTCCATTAACAAAATGAATATTGTCCAATTTCTCATAGTCCCATAGAATTAAATCGCCACCTTTCGAAGCAGCGGACAATGTGGTGGGTTTTGTTGGATGCCATGCCAGGGACGTTACTCTTCTGTCAAATGGACTTGATGTTCGTAGTATCCTGTAACGTGATAGTCTATCTTGCAATGGCTTGATTAGAGCCTAAAAACAAGTTAAAAATTAGATGGATCAGCACCCAGATTCATATTTTGACTGTATCAACAATGTTATTTTTAACAATGAAATTTCCTTTGATTAATTAGTTAAATAACATTTTCATTTTTCTTTATTGCTTATATAATCGTTAATCTATATACTGCATTTATAGCGCATTGATATCAAAGTCAGATTTCTGAAGTCAATACATTTTTATAAAGCATAAATTTTCTTTACCTGTTTCATGTTGTTTATTGTACAATTTCCAGTTTTGTAGTGATACAGCTTGTGTAAAACATTTTGACTTCGCAATTCAAAGGGTTTTACCACAGGCAGCTGTATCAGGTTTTTAACTGGATCCTGCAGGAATAACAAAAGGAATTACACTATATATAACAAAATTAAAATTTTATTGTTTCATGTGGCATTGTTTTTCCTTTGTTATTTTTTTAAGGGAGAGGCATCAACACCTCTTTTTGTTTACACCACTAAAAATCTGGGTCGCTTCGGCCCTGAAATGATCGTAACAACTCAAGGCTGAACCGATGCAGGGATGAAACAACCCAGGGCCGAACAAAATCAGGGCTGAAACGACCCTACACCCTGACTAACTACCCTTACAGAGGTGTTTAAACCTGCTAAAGCTCACAGACTCCTGTAGGTCAGTGAAATATGTGGATTTCTGCATTTTGGCTTTAAATATTAAAAATAAAAAGGCAGCCTAAACAAAGGATGGTGTACATCAAGAAATATTTCTCCATTCTTCCTTAATCGTTCTAGAATGAAGTAAACATCAGCAAAAAATACTATCATGGAATTTTGCATGTGTTCCAAAACCACTTGTTTCTATCTATGACTTGGATAAAAATATAAAATGTATCGAACTTGGCATTATCTGCTTATACTATCATCCTCCAACCTAACTAAATCTTTTTAAATACCAAAATTTAGATGTCTAAGCTTTCTTTGAATTTTTTTTGTCTACCTTATTTTTGTTATCTGCCTTCTCCTTAGCATTCTCCTTTGATCCCTTCTTGCCATTGGCTGAAACTGGTTTCTTAGCTTTGCCTTTTCCAGCTGGCCCACTCCTCCCTTTTCTAGTAGCAGCAGGTGCCATGGTAACTGACAATTATTATGCAACAATTTGAGTTTGTTAGATGGATGGCTGACTGACTGTGCACTTTATCTGATCCCTTCACTAAAGAAAGAAACATGGAATGTATAATACAGTACTCGGGCGGATCCCAAATTCTTAAAAAAGGGCGGCACAACAGTTTCAGAATAGGTAAGCGAGTAGCACATAACATTGATTTGCATTGAAATTTTTAAAACTTCTTGGCAAAACGGGTAGGGGAGGGGGAACGTATACCCCATTCCCCCTACTGGACCCGCCCCTGGTACTCATTAAATGCTGCCCTCAATTATTGAAAGCAATGCCATAAGCATGCGGCCAACTTGCCAGAAGAAACATGCATGACATAAAAACATTTCACAATAAATAATTTAATTATAAAATAATGAGAATGAAAAAATGTGTTCACACAGGGGAAGATTTGACAGGGGGGTGGGGGGATTCTCCTGTCACATATCTAAAATAAACGCTTGCAAGTGGTGTTATGCAGCTTTTACGTATGACCTGATTAATGACGACTTAGGTCCTTTGTGGTCCTAAACATTCTTCAAAAATTCCGAAAATATGATCACTATAATAATATTATAATAATGGTCGACCTATAGAGTGCATATTATGGAGACCTCTATGCGCTTAAAAATGAAAAACTGTACAAAGAAAGTAATACTTAAAATGGTTTGGCCGTTTTCTATGTCAAATGCAAAATGCCGAAAGGTCCACTGATTAATCTCAGATAAGAAAGTATAATACATACTCCAAGTATTGAAATACACGCCATCGTGTTAGGATTCAATATTTCGACATTAATTATGTCATCATCAGGAATGCAAAATGGCATTGAAAAATTGTTTGACTTATTAGATAAAATTTGACTTGAATTTGGCATGTAAAATAGTATTAAAATTATTTGACATAATAATAATAATAATAATAATAATAATGAAATGATAAAACATACCAATTCTCAGCTCACATTAACACTTGACATCACAGCTCACTCTTGACTAGTGCACCCAAGCAGGGAGGTATGACCCAAGCAAGCATGCTGCTTAAGGCCTCTTATGTGACATCTTAATTATCCTTCCACCATTATAATTAACAACAAAGGACTACTTAGGCAAAGCCCATTGACATATGCAAATAGGGGTGTAAACAAAGACACTGAATGTTGATAGCTTATTACATAATCAACACTAACACAGCAGTCTACCCTAAACAACAGATTATCATGTAAGCCAAGGCCCAACAACTATTAAATTAAAGGCTATTCCTAATCTAAATAAATGGCAAATTAGTTTCAAATTAAAATACTTAGTACTACCAGACTATTTTCCCATGGTACTACTTAGTATACTTTACCCATACCAGTAACTAACATTTAAAATAATTTTAGTCCAATTCCCAATATAACTTACTACAGTACTGTAGTTAACCAACAGCCAGCCTTAATGTCATTCATTTATATGTCATTCATTCATCCATCCATCCATCCATTAATTTTTATTTTATCCATTTATTCATTCATCTATTCATTTATTTACTTACACAATTTACCTAGTTAGGGCACTTTTCATGACAATTCATGCTCAAAGGCACAATGTGAACATTTATGTTTACAGGGTTAAAATATTGTTAATGTTGCTTAGTTGACAAGAAAATACATTAATTATAATATAAATTCAACACGAAAAATGGGTACCTAGCAGGAGTTGAATGATTCAGAATGAATCAGTAATGCTGGTTACAAGCATAACTAGGAATACTCCCCAGGGAGTGGAGGAGGCTGCACGTTGTATACGAATGATTCTGTATCCAATGACCGCAGGGAAAGACAAATCAAGGGCAGATGACACCCAGTAGGAGTACTTTCGTGCATGGTCGGTTCAGATCTAGCTGGAAACGTAATGCAGCGTCTGCATGATGGGTTGAGGATGATCGTTTTTGTCAAAATTTTGATTTCATTTTTACAAACTACAGCCCATTTGAACACAATAAGTAAATAAAGCGTGTTCTCTGTTTAAGTACTTATTTTCTATAGATAGATATCCTACAATAAAAACATCATGAGGCCTAAATAGATGTAGGATGCTGCAACTAGGCCTACGTATGTACGGGCCCAGAGAGAAAGACGATCGTAGAACACGGGTCCGACAAGACAACATGAACAGGGTACGTCGTAATGTACAGTCAAGTTAAGTCACTTTCAAGAGATGGTCTGTCACAATATAATTTCTTGTGCATCAATTTCCCACAATAGTCAGTCAGTCACATATTTGCCGAAGGGGTGCGTCATTGCATGCAGAAACAAAAATTTCGCGAGGCCCCTAAGGTAGAGTTATCTCAATCGGCCCCACTTTCGCCCCCCCCCCCAATTTCAGACATTTCTGGATCTGCCCCGTAGATGGCCGGGAATGTTACAAGAATAAAGATAATTTTAGTGAAACCTAGAAAGAAGATGAGTTTGTACACAGTGAGTCATTGGCACAGAGAAACACTCAAATTCTTCAAAAGGCTTATTCTTCTTATCGAGTCACTACGTAGCTAGTGTGTATGATCTTGCTTACATAGCGTGGTAGAAGGATTTGCAGGTAGGATGGATACCCGACATGGGCCACGATATAAACGCTCCTTCTGTGGCCAAACATGGGACTGGAAATGGACCAGTACACCGGGGTAACCCTCTATTCTTCTTGAATGATGTACTGTACTGGGTTCTTTAAAGTGCACACGAGCCAATTGTGTACTTAGAGTCCTTATCTGAAAAGACTTATTCCACCACCGGAACCATAGGCGAGCGTGCCATTCGAACCAGCGCCAATATTATGGCTGTATATATCACGGTTCCCCTGTCTTTCGACTCTCCTAAAAAGCTTAAATACAGTTAAAAGTCTTTGCTTGTATGATGAATTGGAGGCCGTCCTACTAGTTGGAAACTGCTTTGATTGGTCAAGGAGTTTTGGTGGATGGATTTCTGGAACGTGCAAGTGTGTGTTTTGAATTTTCTACCCCTGAAAATGTGGACCTTTGGTAATTTGGGGGGTGTGTATGCACCCGTCGCACCCCCCCCCCTGCGTACACGGGCCTGGATTTGGCCAAATTGCATCCTAGAATCCATGCGACGCTCTCGCATGCGCAGATGACTGTTAGTGATGTCATTACGTTCTACGCTGCGTGCAATCTATGCTACCGTTGCACCTGGTTCCACATTATCCACATTTAAAATATGGAACTTATGGTTTAATTAAATTCGTCTAGGCTTAACTTAGCCTAGGCTTAGCTAGGTTATAACTTTATTATAAGCTAATAAACAGAAAGGCCCAGGTATCCGACATCAGCTCTGTGTAGTGTCTGTGACAGATGTGTCTGTCCTTGGGTTTCCTGTCCTCACAGCAGCGGGACTCGAAAGGCCTCTTTCTTTTTCAGACCACATGTCCAGTATCAGTGACAGGCAAAAAAACCTGTGTGAAGGAAGAAAGTGTTAAATTTGATCATAGCATCATTCTGCGATAAACTTACACACAATTCAGATTTCCGAGTTATTAGGATTCCGCCAGCGATCAGGCCATATAGTTGAGATTATTTTAAGCTGGTTCCACATGTAGGATGTAGATGGAGGAAAAGGAGAAGATGGGGATGAGTTGAATATCATAGAGGGCGCTAGCCAAACTTACATAATGTACGTGCTCATCCATCCATATCGATCATCATCATCCCCGCATGATCCACGGCGGACGTGCGAATAACGATGACGTACCTCGGCGGCCACCCTGGGAACTCGGCCATCATCCGTGGTGCAGCAGCAGAAAACGCCGGGTTGTGAGTAACAATCGAATGTGTGTTACTTAGGTTGGGCTTCTAAGTACATCGTTAAAAATGTCAGATCAACGAAACTTCTTCGTAGGAGGGAACTGGAAAATGAATGGAAGTAAAGCTAGTATAGATGGCATTTTACAGTTTTTAAATGAAGCCAAAATACCAGCGAATACTGGTAAGAAAAAATTTGCCTGTCTGTGTGTGCTGCTAAGTTTATGGTTTACCTAGTCTAGCTAGGCCTAGATGTTTATGTCTTGTTTGTGATGATAGGCACTGTTGTCCGCCCCTTCGTTCATGGGATCCCTCCTGTCTAGGCCAGGTCTAGATTGGGTAGCTAAAGAAAGAAACAAGCTCTGACTATAAAGTAGTATGGTCCAAGTGGAAATTTATACATGATGAATGAATGAAAGCATTATGATTTTCATCATATTCTGAAAAATGATTTGGCTAAAAAATAGCAGAATAATGAATATTATAGGGCCTGCCTTACTAGGCTAGGTCTAATTAATACTAAATTAAATTAAACTAAACATCCAAGGACCTACTTTCTACATATTAATTACTAAGTAAGATGAGGCCTATGCCTAGTCTTCTAATACTCTTGGAGAATTATGGTACTGCAAAGTACAGTAGGCCCTTTAAGTATCTGTTTATTTTATATGACTTTATTTATATATTTATTGATTACTGTATACATATAGGCCTTAATTAGTCATCATATCACTTATCATTAATAATATTATATAATTTAAGCATATTTTGATGTTTGTATCTATAATATATACAAGAATCACTAATACATACTATATAATTCTTATACTAATTATTTTTTTAATATAGATGTTGTGTGTGGCCCACCAACGGCTTATCTTTCCTACGTGAAAGAGCGAATACAGGCGGGAGTGCAAGTGTCTGCCCAGAATTGCTACAAGGTCGCCAAGGGAGCATTTACTGGAGAGACCAGTCCTGCTATGCTGAAGGACCTTCGCATTGGATGGGTCATCCTAGGTCACTCTGAGAGGCGGCATGTATTTGGAGAAAGTGATGAGGTGATTATTAAGTCTTAAGATTTAGCAGATTACCTTTTTAATGTTTTTAAATCATCTCACCAAATATCAATCATTGTGATCACATTATATTTCCTTGTTTATTTATTGAAATTAATCAATTATAATATTTTCATGGTCTTTTCAGGAATTATTGTCAATGTTGAAAAAAATTATCATCATTTTCATCTTCAAATGTCATATCTTGTCTTTCAGTTGATTGGTGAGAAGGTTAAGCATGCACTGGACGAAGGAGTCAAGGTCATTGCTTGTGTTGGAGAAACACTAGGGGAGCGTGAGAGTGGTTTGACCGAGGAAGTTGTCTTCAAACAAACTAAAGCAATTGCTAGTAGGCTATCATTAACATATTTTTTAATGTGCTTGCAAGTTACCTTTTGGTGCCTTACTATTTCAATATCTGACTACAGTAAAATATTTATGAAGACTTATTTACAATACTATTTTTTTTTCTTGGAAGTGTTACAAATTGAAGGAACTTAATTCTGTATTTTAAAAGTTAACTTTCTCCAACTTGCATTAAATTTTTTCAGGCAATGTGAGTGACTGGAGTAGTGTTGTCATCGCATACGAACCAGTTTGGGCCATCGGCACAGGAAAAACAGCCACCCCAGAACAGGTACACACACTGTCAATCAATCAGTCACTTAATTTAACAGTTTACTTAGTGATTACAAATTCCAATAAAGCTATGACACTACACATTGAAAAAAATAAAAATTAACCAAATTTGAGTGCACTCATCCATGGTCCTGAGTTCATGAATATTCAAAGCTTATGCAAAATATAATATATTTCACTTTATTCAAAATTCATATAAAAACAAGTTACAATTCGTGGCCGAAACGCCTTTTTTTTGCAATTTTACAGAAAAAATCCATTCATAAAAAGTTAAAACACACACAAAAAATTTATTTAGAGGTTAATATATAAAAAATATTCAAGAAAATAAAACAATTGGACAGGCAGCTTGCCTTCTCTAAATGAACAATTAAGAATATCTGAAAAAGGACTCACTTAATTCGTCACTAAATTCCCTTAAAAGTCTGGGCGGGATACAGTCAGGCCTCCAGCTTTGATTGGTTTAACCTTTTTCAATTTATTATATACTTTCTATGGCTGAACTTTGGGAACAGTTTCAACAGAAGGAAGATTGGCAGGAAGTTTGTCATAATCTAAGGGTGGTAGAGCATAGTAAATGCCATGGTCTTCATTTGTGTATGCCACATCTGTGGTTCATTATGCTGTAAATACTTAACATGGTTACAGTAATAGATGGACTTGAGCTTTTTCTTGAGCAACTTTCCTCTTAACCAGCCGTGTATCTAAAAGTCTTGAAATGGGGACGGGTAAGTCGGGCGGGGCTTGATGATCAGTTGAGGGGTGCTAACTTGCAAGATAAGCTAATTTTAGGTGATTTTTAACTCTCCCCTGCCCCCACGCACCCCATAGATATGACACTGCTCTTAACAACTGCATTTCTGAGTTTCTTCCATTCCGCAGTGTTGCTGAAAAAAGGCAACTTGTCTCCTATCAATTAGGTCCCACAAAGCATGTTTGTCTTACTTATGAATCTTAACTACTGTATTTTAATTGGACAAAAATTCATTAAAAGCAGTGTCCTGAGAAGTTCATACAACTTATCCATTTTTCCTTGGGTGGTTGTACAATTTGTGATACTCAATCAATGAGACATCTCAACTCTTCAAGCTTAATAACTATCAGATGATTCGATAACCCAAGTAATCAAATGTGCATATCGTTTTAGGCACAGGAAGTTCACCTCCGCCTACGTGCCTGGCTATCGGACAACGTTTCCCCCTCTGTCGCTGCATCAACACGCATTATATATGGAGGTAAATTTTGAAATATTTATAGTAGGATGAGAGGGCATGAAACATTAATCCTAGGTGATATAATCATGTTTATAATAATACTGTTTTTTGGTATGTAGATGTGTCCATTGGACAGGGTACTAAAGATAGTTTTTGCTGTGGGCCACATCATGTGGGAAGCTGCACAAAATTTTATTTTCCAGCATCAAGCTAACTCTAATATTTTTTAATTTTTCAGGATCTGTGAATGCAAAGAATTGTCAAGATCTAGCAACCAAACCTGATGTTGATGGGTTCCTGGTTGGGGGCGCTTCACTTAAGCCAGATTTCATCACGATAATCAATGCCAAGGGCTAAGATGCTAAAGAACTGGTGCTATTATTACAAATTTAAAGAGTGAATTAAAATATTATTAGATGTTTGTTTTTATTCAAAATAACCTGATAAAACAAGTACTATACCATAACATCATAAATCTATAACACAAATACATAATAAATTTTTGTTGGACATGAAATACAATTTCTATTATGTCACAAAAAAGGGAAAAAAAGGAAAAGTTATAAATTTATACTGTTTTATTGTTTGTCAAATTGTGAAGGCATACTTGTGTTTATAATCATGTCTTGAATTTTTTCTCTAAGAGACGTACAAACATAAACATGGAAACACAGACATACAAAAGAGAATAGGCTTTCTTGTATGAATTAGACCGCTGCCATTAAATGAACTAAACATTTAGATGTAACAGTAAATTCCTTTTGTACAGTAGACCTATATAGGGTATAAACATTAAAATAAGGTAGCATATAACAGTGCTCAATGAAAAATCAGTGATGTTAAGGTAGTGAAATGAAGAGTGTTTGCATTAAATATAAATGAACGAAGATGCTTATAGTGATTCTTTACTGTTGCATTGTTAGTAGTGCAGTGGTGTGACGTCTATGCGCTCTCGTGTGGCAGTCCACAGGGACCCCACCCCTAGGGGGGCCCCACCCTGAAAAGAGATTTGTTGATGCGTAACACTATGTCGTGTCTCTGACATCGACTGTAGGATCATATATTTATAAAAAAATTAGCGATATTTGAAATTATTTAGGGAAAAAAACCCATTCCCAGACGATATACCAACTGAAACTAGATTTTGGACTGGGTCTTTGGTAGAAATCCTTGATTTCAGAAGACATTCCACTACTAGGCCTAAAGTCAACAAACTGCCAGCCAAATCAAACGGTATTTTAACATGAAAATGGAATAAACAACCACTAATTTGTTCAAATTTTAAACACGAACTTATACACAAGATACTACTTATACTTTATATTTAATTTATTATATAATTGCATAACAGATACATAATGAGTAAATACAGTACACAACTAACCAATATGAACAAAAGTACATTTATATACATTAATTTTAAAGTGATTACATATTTTTATTTTAGATAAATAAATGATAACATTGCATTAAAACTAAATGCTACAAGTATTGTCATCTCTGGGACCTTTTATTAAAATAATAAATCGATTCAGCTTTTAAAAAGATAATATAATTATATACTGAAAAATTGCAAACATTTCTTGAAGGTAAATTTAAGTACAAATGGAAGCATAAAAATCGTCATCATTACACACAAACCATAAAATATCAAAAAGCAACTGAAACGTATTGTTTGTTATTGCACTATTCAATTACAAAATGACACTAAAATAAAAATAGACAATATTCATACATTACTCTACAAAGACTACTGTCACATGGATAATACATTTCACATACCATACCATACAGGCCTATAGAGAAGAAAGCACACTTTTGGCAGTATTATGAAAGATAGTGGGCTTGCATTAATATGATTATGTTTGAAATTAATGCTAAAATTAGATTAACGCTAAAATGATTCACAAAAACACATCTTGAAGTGGATGGTTATAGCAGTGTTCAAAACAATTTCAAGGCCATTTTACTTATTTTCTATGATTTTTTAATTACATAAAAATATACTGCAGTTCTTCCTTATCTAATTCTTTTTAATGAATTCAATACAATTAATGTTTTCCTTTAAATTTGTGGGTAACGACCATCTTTACTATTGTAACTAATGCTTCCTGCATTCTGAATCGAACCATGATCTAGAATGGGTTTCTGTTCATCTGAGTTGTATACCACTAATGAATTCCTCTTCTGTTTGTAGCGCTCATAAAGTGGAACACACACAGCATTGTTGTAAACACAAGTGCCAGACACGAGGATCACAAAACCGAGTAACTGCAGAAAACCAGCAATCCCACTGAATTTCTCCCAGCCAACAGCCAAACTAAAACACCATATAACAAGTGTTCGGAGACTATCTAGCACCATTCTAGTGGTGGCGCTCATCTCTTTGGTGACACTGATCCCAGAGAAGTTAAAGAAAGCGATACTTATCATATTTCCCAGGAATGCCACAATGAGAAGCTTATTGTTGCCCAATTGTATAAAACCATCTATAGCATCTTCAAGACGATGCTCTGGCAAAGTGCTCAGGGAACCAACATGAATATAAAAGAATGGAACAAGTAAAACAGACAGGACACAGAATCCAAATAAACCTGAAATATGAGAAAATAAATATTTGGTTAAACGTACCCCTTATAATATTAATTATACATTTTCACTAATCATGGTGGTTTGGGCATACAATTTAAGCCTGGTTTCCATACAATCGCTACACACTATTGCTGACTCCTTTGGCAACGCTGATTGGTCAGTTGAATCAGGGAGCGTTCCTGATTGTGTCGGGCAGTGAATGCTCTGTTGCGACTGCGCAGCGATTCATGGAAAGGTATCTGGATAAATACATGCAGATGTATGGAAGTTGTACGTATATCAAGTACAGGCAGACCCTAAAAACATGGGATAAAGTCATAAAAGTGACCTTGGGGGAAACAGAGACAGGAGTTGGCTCAGGACAGAGGAGTATGGAGATTGGCCATCTAATGCTTTGGCTGAACCCCCTTTTCAAACAATGCCTCACTCTGATAAACCAAACCATCCTTTCCCCTTGCAATAAATACAATCAAACAATGACACGACACAACAATTTATATAAGCTTCACCTCCATTGTCCCCCCACCCACCAGAACCCTAACTCCATACCCCATCAGAGTGCCTAGTTACCCATGGACCTCCAGCTCTTATAAGTAGATCTTACGAAATGCTAGAAATGGCCTATTATAATAATTAGGTGACAGTGATCTCTAGAAGTGAATTCCATATGTGCAGTGCTGAAAGATGGTTAGCAACTAAGAATGAGCAATGCACTTACCTTCCCACCCAACTGCTTGTAAGGCTGGTATTTTATACTTGCTAAGGAACTTTTCTTCAATAACCATCTGGACAGCTGTGATAATCTGAGCCATTATGATCAATAAATCACCTAAAATATTATGCAATGAAAAGGAAATGTTATAGAAAAGAAGTACAATAATTTGTCTTGGCTACCTGAGCCATTCAATATTATTTTTTACGAATACTGTAGGATGTTATTACAGTACTATGAGAAACTCATCTTCAAAATGTATAATCCTTCCTTATCCTATCCATTACAATGGTATCGCGATACATTCTGAATGCCTGGTGCACTTGCAACATCACCAGAAATAGTGAAAAGTATAAACGTGAAGAGTGCACATAAGATTCATAATTTCAGAAATAGAATATTATGCAACTAAGTACGGTATACTAAACTGTTCTAAGATGATTAAAAACCCATCTGTCCATCCATCCATTTATTTCTTATATTTATCACCAACTTGTTATTTATTTGTTTAATTATATTCATCAATAAATGGCAATTTGTAGAGTATCAGTATTGCCCTAAAAAGGTGACATGGCAGCTGTTGCCGATACAATGAGGGCCGCATCACTAATCACCTATAATACTAAATGATTCGGACTACTGCTCACCTGTGATAATATTATTTAGGTCTTTACTATCCTTCTCTTTGAATACAATGTCAGCCACGCCCACTAAGACCAAACCAATCAAAACGAGGAACATGCCAAGCCAGTGGTGTACTTGGAGTTTTCGGCCAAGGAATGCCACAGAGAGAAGACCAGTGAAAATGATGACAGATCCCCTTAGCATCTGGAAGCTGGAAGCATAGGTGAGGGTCAAACCTTCAATGAAAAATGATGAAAGTATAAATGCGTGAAAAACTTACAACCCACAAAGTCAGGAGATGTGTTTAATACATATTTTACATACAGTACAACATTTTATGTATATATACATATACTTAGGTAATTAGCCTTCAATTGAAAATTAAAGCTTTTAAGAGAGACTCCTTTCTTTAATTAGTCAATATAATACTGCTTCTATATTTGTTATATTTTTTTGTTTTAAAAACACAAAAATCTGATGGTAATAAATTAATAATATTCATAGTCAAATACTGTGACTGATAAATCTGAATGGTTTTTTTTTATATTCCAAATTATGAAAGCAAGTTTTTGAAGAAAAAAAAAAATTAATAAAATATGAATGAACACAAATTGAGGTGCAACATACCGACATACATGATTGATGTTCCACACATGTCACAGAGCGCTGGGGGAAGCATCACAAAAGGTGTGAATTCCTGAGGTCCAACATCGTAGTGCTTTCCTTTTCTTTGCTTGTAGAACCATACAAGCTTGAAGGTTAGCAAGCAGGCCATCTCACCAAGGAACATACCACATGCCTATGATAAGAACACAACTGTGAACACAAGTGTAGATTTGTATAGCGCCGGTATCCATCAAACAATGCTCATGGCGCTTGATACTCAAACAATGACTTTCTTCACCCCTAAGTGTCCCTTTGTGTCTGTGCTACCAGGTAACCCGGTACCAGCAACTCTAGTCTTCCACCATAGAGGCTATCATTACCAGTACACCGGAGCATCCCCTACTTGTCTCGAATGATGTACAGGGTTCCTTATATATTGCACATGAGCCATTGTGTACACTGGGCCTACGGTTTATAGTCCTTATCCGAGAATTAGACTTGTTCTACCACCAGAACCATAGGCGAGCGTGCCGTTTGAACCAGTGCCGATATTTTGGCTGTAGGTTGCAGAACCCTTGCCTTAGGGCACTCGGCCATTTGACTCGCCGCTCGGCCATTTCGACTCGCACTGTTTCTATCATTTAACATTGGTTACAGAATACAAGAAGAAGGATGTAAGAAGCAAAATGATGAAAACAAAGGAGGTAAAAAGGAAAAATGGACAAAAAAAGGAAGCAGGAAGCTAAAAAAAGTTTAGGAAGCAAGACGATGTTCATGAGTGTGAAATAAGAAGACGAAAAGTAGGCAGCAAGATAATGAAAAGGAGTGGAAATGAAGAAGGAAAATAAGAAGCAGGAAGATAAAAAGAAACAAAGTAGATAGGCAGAGGGTGAAAAAAAAGGATAAAAAGGAGAACTTGAAATACTCTGAAATATTAAACCCTACTTGTAGAAAAGGGTGGTCAAATTTTCTGCTTGTATCTCCCTCTCTTCCTGGCGATGTCATCAAATCTGCCCATCTAGAATCAAACAAAAACTTGGCAATATTAGACACTGTATTGTTGAAAAAAATATGCTGAGTGGATTAATGGAAAGTAATGAAAAGGATAGGAAAAAAAGGGTTAATCCACAGAATATAAAAACAGCTCTGTACAATCAGTAGCATATTTACACAGGGTGACACATTCCCCACCAAAAAAAGCTTGCATCCCCCAGAAGTTGAAGTAGTTAAAAATCACCTCACATCACCATATTTTGCCAGAGTTCCCCCTCACATAATCATTGAATCGTCCCACTTCACCTTTGCCCCCCCCCCCATCAGCCCCTCCCGCATTTCAATACTCCTAGATATTCAATAAATGAAGCAACAAAGCAGCACATAATCATTTTACATAGTACATTTAACAAAAATAAATTTAATAATACAGTAATAATATCAATAATAATAATAACAATAATAATAATAATAATAACAACAACAATAATAATATTTTGCACTCAAACCTCCTTAGGTACCCACTATACTCCTGCGTGGAGTGATGAAATGCAGATGAAGTACCTTGCTCAAGGACACAAACGAAATGATTGAAACCCCTACCTCGAGGTTAGGACACCAAACCGTTCCCACTGCGCCAAACAACTTTCACAAATTTAGCTGCCAAAAAAGTATGTAGCTTATGCATGAAAACATTGTGTGACAAAACCACAATGAAATTTAGAGTTAGGATACTAAAAAAGAAAGTTTTGTTAACCTACAGTAGTACGGGAAACTTGTACTGTAGATGCAGACATTGTTAAACAAAAGGTAAATAGACATTAGATATACACGATTGAAATACAAAACAACATCATTGTTAGTTCAAATAAAGTCTGATAATCTTTCATTTTATGTCACCAGTACCATCGTTGCATTCTTCAGAGTAAGGATTGTTAGCAATAAAATCAGAATGGCATATTTTACAGCTAAATTGTAGTGTTAGGTAAATAATTGATTCTTTCTGAAATAGTTTATCATATGATATAATTATATGATAAGCCCAAACTTGTTTGCAGTAAGGGGTTTTATTGTGTGTTGGGGGCCCAGAGAATTAGGAAAGGGAGGAAAAAAAGGAATCTGCTAGTGATTAGTTACTGTAGTTTCTGCAAGATTATTGCTTTCTTGTAGGAGTGCGGGAGGCCGCCCAGATTTCAGGGAGACTTGGGACACATGCGGATTGAACAACACTGCAGTATACTCTTTGGTAGAGAGCAAAGTCTTCTGGTGTAGGCCTATTGTCCATTCACCACCAGAAGGACACCACTAGTACACTAAAAGTCTTTGGACTTTAGGTTTCATAGGATCCTAGGTGTTTTTGGACCAAACAAAACAACCTAACAGCTGAGACTGGGGTGGTTGTAAATTATGTACACTAGACTACAGTATTCCCAGGCAGAAAATCAAAGAATCTACCTAAAATATTACATTGACGATACAATACTTTATTTATGATTTTTTTTTTTATGTATACAACATGCACAACAAGCAGTCTGAAGGCTAAAAACGTTGAACTTACAAAACCGATATTAAGCCAAATCAGGGGCACATCCAGAAATTTTCTGACACAGGGCCCAATAGGTAGTCCATACCCACCTCATCCCCACCATGGTTTGGTTGAGGTGAGCAAATTTTAAGAATAGGCCCCTCTAGACACTCTGAAATGGCCCTCTCACTCAGATGGAAAAAATGCTTTTTCAAAGCCGTGTTCCCCATCGACAAAATTATTGACTTCTTCCCAACGGGAGCTATGCTCCGCCTCCCTTAAGATACCCCTCCTTCACGGGAACCGCAAAGGTGTAACAAGGTTCCTATAGTATATTTTATACTGGGAGTCACAAAGCAAATTATGATTACACCAGCTCTTAATGGCCGGAAATGGCACTCATTCAGATTGAATATTTTATCTCCATTTAAAAAAAATGTAGGGGGGTCCTGGCCGGCTGAACACCCCATCCCCACTGGATTAATATGATATATGTCATACAATCGAGTTCAGAGACACATTATGCTGTTATTTATCAACAAAGCTTTATTCTGTAATTAATAATGGCTAAAAAACCCTGCCTTAGTAAGTCTCCATCTTTTGGCTTTTTTTACATCCTGATTTATGCAATCGTTGGAAAAAAATCTGCATCGGGAATATAGCGTTGTGTTCATCATCAATCAATAGAAAATTCAAAATTAGTGAGTGGTAAATTTATCACACTCTCTCCTTTCGCCCACTGCTGTTTCCACCACTGAACTCATGGGTACACTTCCTTTTTTTCCTTCTTTCGTCCCTTTATTTAGGGGACACAAAAAAATTATTTGATTATCACTCCTTAAAAAAAAAAAGCGATGAGGACTGGCGGTTTTTTTGTTTTTTTTCAATCGGAACAATAGAATATTGCCTTTTTTTATCGATGAGGGAGGGACTGTTTTTATTTGGCAAGAATATTGTAAATAAACTGGTTTAATTTTATTGTATTTTTAAGAAAATGTATTTCCTGTCACAAAATTGCATTGTTTTTTTTATGCTGTTGAAATAAATGATGCGGCAAAATTTCTTCTTTTTACTCCCACATCAATATTTACCAAAATTTTTAACGTGGGTGGAGTGATAATCTAACAATTTTTTCTATGTGCCTTCTCTTCTCAATTTTTTTCTTCCTCTTTTTATATTTTTCGGGACTGACAGGGGAGGAATTCGTTTAATTTAATTTCACTGTTCCCTGGTTTGTAATTTCACTGTTCCCTGGTTTTAACAACAGCCACTGCCAAAATAATAATATAAAAAATAAAAATCTAAGTTTAATCAAATGCTCATATCAGACATATATTATACAGGCACCATTAGCTTAATAATAATTTCCAGCAAGTACAGCCTATGGTCCGCAATCAAGTTTTTTTGGGCCTAGGCCTAGCTGGGGATACGAACGACTCAAAAACAAGGCTGAGTAAGCAGAGCAGAGTGCTCCGTCGTTCGTTGCAAATCATGCCAAATGTCAGTGTAGGCCTAGGCCTAGGCCTAGTGATGAAAATAAAGAAGCCAACTTACTTCGTACTAATTGTATTTATTGAACCAGTGACTAACATTAAGACCGCCAATGAGTATTGGTAGCTAGTCCAAGCCATATTGAAACCAACTTCAATCACCTATAATAGTTTTGGAACATTCAACAGTCATCTAAACTGAAAGAAGTATGAAAAGGATGTGGTGAGAAGTTTTGTAAAGTTTGTTGCTGCAGTCAGCTGACTATCTGCGGTCACGTGCTGACTCATTGTTCATTGTTCTGTGTAGTCACATGATTTATATGGAAGTTTGATTGTACGAAGAGATACTGCATGCTCGGGACTGTCAAAAGTTCTGTTATAAATATACTAGTGTACGTACCTTTGAATTTGTTCACGTATTACATGTTATTATAGGCATTTAATACTGCCATCATTCACATAAGGCACATGTAGAACAGCACAGGCTGGAAAATTGTTTATTTTTGTCTGTCAAAAATGAATATACCCTTTCTCTATGGTCGATAGTATAATACACCCCAAGTAAGTATACAAATGCACGCCATCGTGTTGGGATTCAATATTTCGACATCATCATCAGGAATATTATAGGTCTAGTACTCTATTTTGTTTAGTGATATAAAAATATGGCCAATAATTACTCTTAGGCCTACATAGCGTGTATGCAGTGCCTCTTATGCACTTTGCACCAAATTATAATAAATAGTTATAATAATAATAACAATAATAAAAACTTATAATAATAATTATAATTAATTATAGGCCTAACAGACTTTTAATATTTGTATAAGCTGTCAAATTAAATGTCCTGCTAAAGACACTAAACTGTACACGTATGTATACGTACGTACGTGTACACTAATCTTTACACCGTACGTATATACATAATTTACTTTGATTATAATTAAATGTACTTGGAAAATTATGTTACTAAACAGACTCAATTTAGCAGCGTGTAGGCCTCGTATATCATTTTATCCATCAATGAGAGAATTAAAAGTATTAAAGAATTGAAGTAGTTCCGTATAGTCCTTACCCGGCCCCATACCTTTTTTGTATTTGTAGATTTAAGTAGGCCCATGCCAAATTAAAAATGATTTAATGAAATTAAAAAGTTCTAATTTATCAATTAATATTACGGTTCTTTTTCGAATGAGGGGAAGACCGTCACCCGGTAGCAGTTTCCAAAATGATTATTCTAAATAGGTGTCAAAATGTAGCATGCAAAATGTTGATTTAACGTTTCCCGTAGCCCGGTATTAATAAAAACGCTTTTGACAAAGGCCTAATGTGTCAAAGTGGGTGATTTAATCGAATTTTAGATATACAAATATGCTGACGTATTATTTTTAAACTATGGTATTCAAAAAGTATATGATATAATGGATAAGTCGTGACTTGACACCATAAACATTTTTTTAATCACTGGCCTACCATTTATATATTTTTTTTTACAGAAATTATAAAATAATACAGAAGTAATTCAGTGAGGCAGAATTCCTGGAAAATATTCATAATTATGGAAAGAATGATGGATATCCAGCAAATTTTTAGATATCGGGAAATGATTTATGAGTACTGTATTCAAATATATTTTTTATATCCTAAATGGTAAAAGTTTGCGTCCCTGTTGAAAGTTTGTTTTGTTTTGTCTGAGATAGGGCGTAGCTGTTGGACAGCCTGGCAACGTTTGCAATTGAAATCGAGGCAGATTGACGTGGCTGATCGTCGTCGTGGTGGTTAGTTTTTAGTTTATTTCCTATGCTAGAAACTACGCCGGTGTTGTTTTATATCTTGATAATACTACAGCTATTTAGGCGAATTGTTTATATGTGTAAGTTTCAATGCATTAAGTATTATTTTGCGATTGAGTGTTATGCTTATTCTCAATTAATCAATCATGACTCGAGCTAGGCCTACTAGGCCCTAGGCCTAGTCGGACCGTATATAGGCCTAGCCTAGCTAGACAGGTCAGGCAAGGCTGCCTAGAGTAGGGCCCCGGCTGGGCTAAGCCTCCTTAGATGACCTGGACCTGGTTTCTCGGTCTCAGTAGGCCTAGCCTACTGCTGTAGGAAGAGAGGCCAGGCGGCGTCTAACGTTTTGTTTATGCCTAGAAACAACCCATGTGAAATTGTTTTTTTCTGTTGACAGAAGAAGTACCGATACAAAACTTTTACTTAGGTTTAGATCAATCAAGTTGGAAAATGGAAAGTGTACCAACCATGGAGCCTGTAAATAAACCAGGTATTGTTACCAGGTTCTTCACTTCAGGGGCACAGGTAAATGATGATCATAATAATAATATTAATACCTTGATAGATTAATATAAAATTTATAAATAATTACTACTATTTTAAAAATAATATGAAATTGAATGGCAGCTCCAAATTTTCGCAACAATTTAAAGGTCTCATCATCATCATGATGATAATACTGAAAATTGTTGACTATTAAATGATTTTACATTTAACAATTAAATTAAAAAATAATAGTATTGTATTCTCACAAAAAGGTATCACTTTTAGTAGTGGTATGCAAATTTAACAAATCTAACATTCTGAACCGATGGTCTTTGTTCTCTGTATTGTTTCTTTGTTTTACATCAAATTTATTGTCTCATTAACTTCCTCTAAAAGGTCATGTAATTAAAAATGATATCCATGAATTAGTTTTTGATTTAAAGTCAGTCATGCATGCTGTCCTATATTATTATTATTATTATATACTCTTGAGTTATTCATAATATTCAACAATTTAAAAAGAGTACAAAACACACTCTTTTCTGTTCCCCTTCCCTCCCCTGCAAGAGTACACAAAAAAATGTTGATTTGTATCATTTTGAGATCAACATTTTATTTTTTTTCATGAAAGAGTACTTATGCCTACACTTTCAACCCATTCCTCACCTCCATAAAGCTCTTTTGAAAATGTTGATGAATATGGATGGCCCCTTAAGTAATTGCCAAACAATATTTTCAGCTTTTGCTGCCCATTGTATTTTTTATGTGTATACCGAAAAATAAATAAATTTTATATACGTTATATTGCCTACATGTTAAGAAACAATTTACTTATACTTAAATTGATTACCAGCAAATTTTAGGGTTGAGTCAAAGCATATCTGAAAAGGATTATTTATCTGTCTGATTATTGTTATTTTAATGCTCTATTGAAATACATTGATTAATTGTTAATTTTCATCTTTTGTTTTTTTTTTACCAGAAATATCAGTCCTTCCTTGACAGATGGGTTCCATTTACAACTGCGAGATGGGTGTTTTCATTTTTAGTTTTCATTCTATATTTTGTACGAGTGTTCATATTACAGGTATGATTGACAATAAATAATCAATAAAAATATTAATTATATAATTTTTAGCCGAGTAATATGTTATGTGAGTTATAAAAATATAATACATGATTTTCATATAGTTTTATTGTTGTTAAATTCTAGTCTGTTACAAGTGTGTTTGATTATAAATACAATAAATAAGAACAATAAAAATTTAAATAACTACTACATCTAACCTACTTAGTTATATGTTAAATATGTACATTATAATTTATATAATTTATAATTCTGTTATAAATATTAATAGAGCATTATATTTATTTAGTTGTAATATATTTACATATATAATATTTCAATTAATAATATACAGTAGTTGAGAAAAAAAGAGAAATGGTCCTCAAAGATGATTAATGAAAGGGGTATAAACTAATAGTTTTGTTAGGCCATAAGGTATAGTTAACCATATTTTGTAATACACTATGCACTCATCAAGTTTCTTTTCTTGTAGGGATGGTATATAGTTACATATGCTCTTGGTATATATCTACTGAACTTATTCATCGCTTTCTTATCACCGAAAATAGATCCAGTATTTGAGCAAGAAGGTCAGTTATTTATTTGATTATTATTTACACTTAGTAGAAGCGGTTGGTGCATCTGTTGTAGCTCAGACTCTCAACCTTAAGGTCAGGGTTCAAACCCTTGCTGTGCAAGTTGCTTGTGTCCTTAGGCAAGACACTTATCTATGTTTAAATGGGTTCCAGTTTATGCTGGGGAAGTAAACAGATTTGCTGTGCAGGAGGAGTGGGCAACCTCCCACAGCCTTGCACAGTTTGGCCCAAATGCTATAAGAAAAAGAAAAAGAAAAATGCACACCAGACTGTGAGCCCAGAACTTCAGGTTTTGACTTTATTTACCTTGGAATCTGTTCTCCTGTTTAGTATGTTTTTTAATTCACATAAAAAAAACATATTTTGCATTATTTGTTACAGATGAGGATGGTCCAAGTCTACCTACTAAATCCAGCGAGGAATTTAGACCCTTCATCAGACGACTTCCAGAATTTAAATTTTGGTGAATTTAATATTACAGTACTTCATTTAATTAACCGATAAATTTCAATCAAAATTGTATTTACAGTATATGCTAATAATGATTTAGATATATTTCAGCATTTTTTAAAGTGTAAAATTACCAGTCATGTTTAAAAAATTTGCCAATTTGCAAGCAGCTATTGATGTGGTTTTTCCTATTCTTTTTTTTTTCAGGTATTCTGCAACAAAAGCTGTGCTGATTGCCATGTTTTGTACATTCTTTGAAGTTTTCAATGTTCCTGTATTCTGGCCAATTCTTGTCATGTACTTCTTCATTCTGTTCTTTTTAACAATGAAGAGACAGATTAGGGTGAGTGCAATTTTATCATAGAAATCACAATCATTTCTCTTTCTATACGTTTACACTGATCATGTTTTATGTTATACCAACACATGTCATGTGACTATACTAGTGTGGACCACTATTAGCTTGATTTGCTTATCGAAGTTTCAAACTTTATTCTCATCCATTTCTATAAACTCCATTGCTTGCTTGCCTACATATATAAGACAACATGCCTAAACATATATGAGCAAATCAAATGTTTGTCACAGATAGCATAGGTAGAACATTGCAAACATGTCCACTAATGCACAGTTGGTTATATATCTAGGCCTTCATACTTATTAAAAATATATGCAATTCCAGTGGCAGATCCAGAAATTCAAAATAGAGGGGCCCAAGGAGGGACCTTCATAGACACGTGAGATGTAGACCACCTCAACTCTGCCATGGTTTTGGCTAATAAATTTATGATTATGGCACCTCTAGATGACTGAAAATTGGGCTCTCGGACCTAAATTTAATTATAATTTTCTACATTTTTTTTTTATTTAGAAAAATTTGGAGGGCCCCCCCCCCCCCAAAAAAAATAAAAAAAAATCTGCCACTGAATTCTTGGTGACAAAAAAAAAAGAATCTCTTTATTTAGCTAACATTCTCAAAAATATCCTGACTGACATAAATAAATATTTATATATTTTCTTTTTTACAGCATATGATTAGATATAAATACCTTCCTTTTTCACATGGAAAAACAAAATACAAGGGAAAAGAAGATTCAGGAGAGGTTATAGCACAGTAATATAAGTCCCAAAATAATCTTACCCCCGCAGTTGATCATGAAAGCAAGGCCTCCTCTGAAGAGTTGTGGAAGCAATTACAGTTGGATAAAAGAAACTAAATTGTGAAGGTGTAAAAAGGTGCAGTAGATGCAGTGCTCTCCTTGAAATCAAGTTCCAGTTTGCAATTTTCTTATCTTTGATCTCTCTTAAGGACACGAGACCGCCTGCATTGCCGATGGTGTTGGAGCTTAACGTATACAACATTGTAGACTCCATGATGTACCCATAATGCACTATAAAAGATTGGACACACAATATACAACAGTAAGGAATTTGCGCAGTATATTTAAAGATGTTTTGTCTGTTTTGAACCAATTACTGTATTTTATTCGAAGAAACGCCCCGGAGCATTTATAGTTGAGAAGGGTTTTAAGGGGAATTTATTTTAGAGAGGTGGTTATTCGAAGGAGACATTAATTTTTTTTGTAAAATGGATACGTATAATATGCTCAAATAAACGCCCCCTTAATTTCACTGTAAATGTGGAACTACAGTTAAACTTGCCTAAGTCGACTTTGCTTAACTCAAATAATTTCTAAGTCGATCTTATTTTACATGCAAAATTGTTGTGTTTTCCATTAATTAACAATCTGTAAGTCGAATTTTATCTAAGTCAAACAATTTTTCAATTGCATTTTGGATTCGACTTAAACAAGTTCAACTGTACAAACACATAATTACCATCAAATGTGTTATTGCATGATCATAAAGACTTGATGATCCCAACCAGGTAAAAAAAAAAAAAAAAGCTTTCAGCAGGAGCGTGCATCTACTGCTTTACAGTTTTTTTTTTTTGGCTACTTTTCATCCACGCTTTCTGTGTTGCAATTCACTCGAATAACTGTACAAGACCAGACCTGTCCTAGTTCTTTCTAGGACAGGTCTTATCTAGCTAGCATCATATTTTGTAAACTTACTTTTCATTTTTATCTACTGCCCCCACTAGATCGTGGTAGTACTTTTCAAGATACTGTACAGTACAGTATAGGGGGATTGCATTTTAACGACATGACCCCAAAAGTTATACTCTTTGGTTTTACCTTTTAATCAGCCCAATAACCGAATCCCCATTCAGATAATTAATAAACATTTATTCAGTATAAAAGGCAGTACCAGTAGACACACGCTTTAGCTTATGATCATTCCTCCACCGGATTTTCTCGTACAGGTTCAATTTCCAGAAAATGTTATTCTACCGGAGTAGAACATTAATAGAATGATGTTGCTTCCATTTAGATTTGATTACAGTAATTTAGGGGTGTTTATTCAAGGAAAAATGAATGGCTCTGGGTGTATTTATTCTGAATGAGGCTCTAAAGGTGGGGGAATTTATTTCGAGGGGGGTGTTTTTTATAGAAATACGGTAACTTGATCACTAAAATTTAATTTGAGTACAGTATACTTTTTAGAAGCAAGTTTTCTACATCAGTTAACAATTCCATAAGTAATGCTGTTGCTATATTTACATAAACATTGAAGTTGAAAGAATAAATTTAAGAATATTTGTAATAATGTTTCAAAGTTTCATTGATGTTAGTACTGATAACCTTAAATGCAGACAGTATATCTTTAAAAAGAGGGAGGGGGCATCAAAAGTAGGCCTGGCAGGGGAGGTCCCCCATGATTAATGAGGGTGCATCCCATTCTATTTCTGCTATTGATACATTTAACCTTGTTATATTACCATGCTTTCTACAAAACCTTGGTATTATTGACTAACCCAAACTGGCTCTGTTTTCTTAAGCTTTGTCTACACTATAAAATTTCATCAAAAAGGCATCACATAAAATTTGATGGAACAGAGTTGAACACGTTCAACTTTTTTTTATACAATTTGATGATATGTGATATGACGTCATCGTACCCATATATGGGCACATCACGTTTTTTTGTCACATAAAATTTGATAGTGTAGACAAAGCTTTGAGCTGTGTCCGCACTATCAAATTTTCTTTGACAAAAAACTGTTTTATGCCCATATATAGCCATGATGTGCCTATATATGGTCATGATGTGATGATGTCATGACCATATTTAGGCATGTCACATAAAATTTGATAGTGTGAACAATGCTTTATGCTACCAGTGTCACTAAGGTGACAGAACAGAAATATATATTATTATATGAATATCTTCTGCTGAACTAAGGAGACAGATGTAATGTACAGATACAACCTTCGTAATTGTTGGAATACTTGTATGATAAATGTCATAAGTGATTTTTTTTAATGGATGAAATTGTTGTCATTGATAGTTTATATGTTTTAACATACTAGAATTTATATCTGTATTTTCTTCCATTTACTATGAATGCAGATCATGTTTTTGTATACCATAATTTATTCTCCTGTTTATTGATTATCAGATTAGATACATTGTATTTATCAAAAAATGGTTTATTAAAAACGTTTTTACTTTTACAAGAACAATCATTTGTACTGATATTCGACTGTTACATTTACAGAGTTATCAGAGAGGTAAAAAATTCTATATACTGTAATTACTGCATTTGGTAATAACAGTGTACTGTAGTGCGTAATTCTAAACACTAAACAAATGCCTATGGAAAACATGCACAATTCTATATTCTTCATCCATAAGACATTTTAGTAAATACTTATATACAAAATTCCAATTACTGTATGTAGCATATATTAGTCTTTCACTAGACTAATAAAAGTTCTGTATCTGTATTTCTTTTTATTTCTAATAATAAACACATGCAATTGTTCTTGTAAATCATTAACGTTAATATTTTGACTGAATATCAAGATTGATTGGTAAATAGTAATAAACATTTTCGAGTTAAATGATATTTTGTGCATTGTTTTTGCATAAAAGTGTTTCTCCAAGTCATGAGGGACATAATTCACTTTGAAATGATAACAATTAAGCATCCACCACTACACTTTTTTATAGAACCAGTAAAATTTTGCCCAGGCTCAGTGTTCTTATTTGTTGCCAATTTCAGGCTCACCATGTTCTTATTTTGTTTTTATTTTACACACTTTTCAAATATAAATTGTGTTCTTTTAAAAATTTAAAAAAGTTTATCTACCACACTCCTGTTTACACTGAAAAGTTTACTGTTACTAAATTAATTCCAGAACTGTGGCCTCAAATTTTTAAAATTCCTGAGCTGTCTACATCAATATTTAATTTTCTTCCTCTCCAACAGGTAGGTTAATTCCCAATTGCACACAATTAAAACAATTTGATTAATATTGTTTAAAAATTTTAAAAGTTTGCCAACATTTTGAATAGCACACAAGAAAACCCATGAGCACACAATGTCCGTATTTTATCAAATGTTAATAATTAACTAAAATATTGCCTAGCACTTGAAACTATGAAAATTTGCCTGTCTAGTATACGGAGATAACTGGTTCAACTTTGGACCAGTGCACTGAAAGCATGTTGGTTTTATTTAAATAGTTATACTGGCATTAAGGAATTGTGATATTTAATATGACAGTTCGTATGATACAGTATGTCAATTTGTATTATTTCTCCTGATGCAAATAGCCATCGGAATAATATGACAGTTATCAATCAATCAGATATTTAAATGCGCACGTATCTGTCATCCATTTTGGCAGATAATCACGGCACCACTGCCACAAAGTTACTTTGCTGGTAATGCCAACAAAAAACAAAAAAAAGAATCAAAAGGACAAACAATGAACGAGAGAGAAAAATTAATAGAATTAAAACTGAAATGAAAAGTTTTAAGTTCAGATTTGAACTTCCCAACCGATTGTTGAGTAGTAAGTGGAATTTCATTCCAAGAAGAAGTTTGTGATGAGTCTGAGATAATCAGATGACCTATGGAGGGCCACATCAAACAATTTTCAATGCTGATTTTCCATGCTGATTTTCCTTCAGCTTGGACATTACCTACGGTAATCAGTAAGTCTGTTTTCATGTGTGAGATCATGGCATCAAATTTTATGGAGCTGAGCACTCTAGTACATTTGAGTTATCAGAAGCTGGATTCATTACAAAAAAATGATTTTACTCTGGATTGAAGTCAATATCTTGTTGGAAAGTCTAGTAATCCGAGATGCCTTATCGCCGTAAACTGATCAGGCAATTCCATTAGCGCTGCAAGTGCAAACGCTGCTTCAGGAAAAGCAGATGAGCGCATAACACCGTGAAAATCTACAAACTGGAAATTGTCGAACTTTCTTCTTGGTAAGCGGTTGTCAAATTCCTTCATGGTACCCCATGGGCCATCACCGACGCCAACCATGATGATTGACAATGGGTAGTCTGCAGCTCGGACTATTGCCTCCTGTGTCTGCTGCTCCCTGGTCACCTGACCATCTGCGATAATAACCAAGATGTGGTACTGCGGAAAAATTATATAATTAGATAAGAATGGTATATACTATTTCAAGTATACTTATTCAATCTTCATATTCTTAAAATGCATACGGTACATAGCAGCAACAAGGCTGAATTGTGTGTGGATGTACGAAGGTAAAATATTAAAAACAGCAGAAAAGAAATTGACATAAAATTTGGAGCAATATTGAGGAATCGTTAAAAAGCAATACATACATCAAAATATGAGAAAATAGTTGAAGAATCATTGTAATTAATAAGGATCTAAAATACTAATTAAATACTGATAATCAATTAAGTAGTAAAAATAGTTAAATAAGGTTGACTCACTGATTGTGTTTCTCTCACAATTCTGATTGCCTTATCAATAAGTGGTGCAAAATTTGTAGGCCCGCTTAAAATTACAGACGGTGTAATCTGGTTGTAGCAGTCGAGCACATCCTGAAAGCCGTGGCATAGCCCATCTGCACGGAAAGGAAAGACTGCCTTGTCACCTGTAGATTGGTCTCCAAATCCAAACACAGGAATCAATCCGTCATCATCAAATGGTGCCAATGTAGTACCAATTATCTTAATTACCTGTGAATGAAATCAATACAAATTTGATAACAATCAAAAGATAATAATATACTGTAATAAATGATATTATTATATAATATATTATTATGATATTATATTGGCTTCTTCTCCCTAGCCGCAATGTGACAAGAACTCTCGGATCTAGTTACTGCCTTGAAACACCTTTCTGCAGTTTTATGACAATAAAGACATCACCTATTCCTACTATTGTTGAGCTTTTAAATAAGAAACGTTAGTCTCATGTTCTGGGTGATACATGAATTTGAACTTTTGACTTTTTATATGCTTTTTTTTTACTGCAATAATTTAAATTAAATTGTATTTTATTGAGCTTTTAAATAAAAAATGTTAGTCTCATGTTCTGGGTGATACATGAATTTGAATTTTTGACTTTTTATACGCTTTTTTATAATAAAATAATTAAATAATTAATTATATGAAATTAAATTTTGTCATTAATGCAAGTTTTTAATAATCTTGTAATTAATAATGGTTTGACAATCTTAATAATGTTGTAAATAATAATTTTCATAAAATAATTAGTAATTAATGTACTGTATTTGAATTGACAATTTTGTACATATGATCACTTATTATTAATTCCTACTGGTATATATACTTTTTATATCTGTTCTATTTTTATTAAATTTAATATTGTTAATTGTACATGTAAATGAATTGTAAATTTGTTATATTATTTTTTTTTTAGATTGTATTTGAAATTTTGTGTCATTTGCACATTGTTTTCATATTGCAAATTCAGTTGCTTCAGTCTTGGACTGCTGACTGTTTTTTATGTTCTTATACCTGAATAAATAAATAAATAAAATGTTCTATTCTACCAAAAAACTGTCAATTGCATTCATTGAAGCTGTCTGGAGGCAAAAGGTTAAAACCGGGCGGCCATTGTGCCCAATGTTCGTCTGCCGATGCAATTCTACATAGAATGCAACGACACAAAGCGCACGCAATGGATTGTTTTTACCGAAAATCTGTTTATGCTACAGACAATCAGCAGACGGAAGGGCTCACAGGGAGCAAAATTTAGATTCATCATATGACAAAGTGAGCGCGCAGCTTGACAACAGATTCTGAAATCTGAGGTCAACCGAAAGACTAGTAGTTTCTTACTTGCTGATAGGGGTTCATAGTACCAATTCGTATAGAGTGAAGACTCTGTCTTCCAAAACTGTACTTTCCTTGATATAAGTTACTTTTTGTATAGTCAATACCTAAAAAGAAGGGATAAAATTAACAATATGATGAAGGAAAAAAAAGAGAAAACATGTTATATTTTACATACAGTAGCTCAAATTTATAAAGTACCTTCAACCAAATAGTAAAAAAAAATCAATATTTACACTTACCAAATATTAAATTACTAGACTCCAGTCCAGCTTGTTGTATTGCATCAGCTACCTCTTCTTCTGATGTAAATCTATCAGCTATTGCAATGAATGGTTCTGATTTTTTCAAGCCAAGTATACGGCCAAGGTTACTGGTTGAATCGACTTTGATATCATCAGGCAGTTTTGGATATAGACTAGCATAAGATGGTGGATTGCCAATTCCATCAAACTTTTGATCTTCTGTAGTAATTGGACTTGTACACCATTTGTAGATTTTGTATATTATCACCATTAATGCACCAATAATAAACATTTGAACAGCCATCTTAGTTCTATTTTAGGTTGGAATTTTTAAAATTCAATTACCGGTAAACTGTAAAAACTCATTATTAAAAAAAAAAAAAATTACTGCAAAGTCAAAAAGCATAGTGTTGGCTTGGAGACATAGCAAGGGTATGGTGCCAATGAGGTGTTTTTTTTTTTTAAATTTGAAATCCAATTTTTTCCAGGCTGTCTATAAATGTAAGGTAATATCAGATTTACAGTGCTTTAAATAGCAAAATCTCAAAGCGTTCAAGGTGTGAGTCTATTACAATAACTTCCTTCCAGCGGTGGCGCCAAAAATTTGCCAAATGTGGGTGTCTGAACCAAGGGGCCGACTAGAGCCCTGGTCGGAGTCCTGGAATAAAAAGTCCTTGTTAGGGTTCACGGGGAGAGATAATAACAATAATAATGGTGGACTTTTTATAAACCACATATTATTAAGATGATCTCTATGCGCTTAATTAACAAAACATGTCTATCTCTTTGGCTATTATGTATGGTCCAAATTGTGTTTTAGACCAGAATATTAGGAATTGGCAATAAAAATACGGATTTCAATAGGTAAATAATATTCTTTAAATTTTTGAACCGAGAACCTCACATCGTGCCCCCCCCCCCCCCCCCCCCCCGTTTATTCTGAGGGCCTAGCACCAAATACATTCAATAGACTGTGTAAGATTCTTTAGAAGCATACATACCAAGATCAGCCTTTTTAGTTTTCAGGTATTTTCTCTATCTGGCATAGGCCTCCGACGAGGCTACGATCACGTATACCGGACCCTCTCTGTATCTTGACTGACTAGAGGGCCAATCGAACAAATTTGATCACTCTTTTACATTTCCCCCAAAATCTACAGTACGGTACAAGCACATATACATTTCAAAACAATTAAGGTGATTAATCACGATTTTAAAATAGTAACTCAACGTAGCACTACAGTATTATCAGTGTCACACATTAAAAGGCCAAAAAGTAAACAGTAAAGACCATTGACACCACTACCGACCGACCGGCCTACATTAGTCTTAATCGTACAGACTCTTATAGTCGACAGCTTCTTCGTAAAGTGGGAATTCAATGAATGAAATAGCGCCCCTGAAACTGAAACCATCTTATAATACTTTCCTTTTAATGTTTACCTTTATATTACATTATATACATTTTTTGTTCGGTTAATATGTTGATTGGTTATAATAATTTTAGCATTCCGTAGAATATTATCAGAAAATTATTTCCTTTCCAAATAACATAAAACACAGGTGCCTTTCAACTAAAAGATTTTGAACCCGTATAGTACGTCAGTAATATTATTTTTAAAGTAGGCCTATAATAAACGACCTGTACATTACGGAAATAATAACATATCGATTTAAATTAACTGTTGCTTAAAAAAAATTTCGAATTAAGGCTATACGGTACTATATAAATCTTTACACCGTGATAACATAACTATTCTCTTGATGGTGATGCACTGCACAGCCCTAGTATGGGTTCGATGCAGCCCAAGGTCGCAATATAATATAATATCAAACTGTACCGGTATATAATATTACTCCAAAATTTGGGTTATTTATTACCTAATAGGCCTATCGTATTGTCGATTTTATTGCATTGTCCAGTTGATTTGGATATTTTTTTTCTTTTGAGCGTTTCCCCATCATTTTACGTAGTCACACCTTTATAAACACTGAGTGGAGGGGGGTGTGGGAAGGCCCTCCAAAAATTACTCTCCCCAGGCGCCCCCCCCCCAAAAAAAATCACGGTCAATTTGTTGACCATTTGTAGCGGCGAGGACACATTGAATTGTGGAAAGTCATGATCGCCAACGTCATGAATCTCGGTACCTGGTGTGATGATGACAACATAATATGGAAATATCAATTCATCAATTAAACATGTCTTGTATGTTAAAACCTCTGTTTGAAAAAAAAAACAACAACACAAAGGCTTCATCAAACCATATCAATCTCACCTATACAGAACCTCCGGGTATTATTGTATATGATCAAGTTTATATTAATTATTTTTTGTCATAAGACCTACCATTATGCAAACATTTGAATACAAAGACCTAACACGATTTTGCTTCACGGAACAAAGAAACAGAAAAAAACCCTACTCCCTTCAAAACAATATTACATTTCAAGAAGATACGAGTAAACAGTCCAAGAGACAAAATGGAATTTATTAATTAAAATCAATCAATCAACCAATTCATAGGAGCATAATGCAGTATCTGTTTACTAATTAATAAAGTATTGCTTGCTGAATTTATAGACAACATTACTAGGTTGCTATAGACATAAGTACATGCACATCAAGCAAAAAATATCCGAAAGTAAATAGTGCCGTTTTGTCAATAGTCAGGCGCGGCCCAACAGCGCCTGTGGTATTGAACTAAGACAAGTCATTTTAGCGAAGCATCTTTCAGTTCTACGATGTCATCCTGGCCTTAAAAATGTTTAGAGTTATGGCTTGTATCAATTTAATAAGCCAGTGAACAACCAAAAGAGGTGTTACTTGGTGGCATTGATCCAGATTCGTGATCGACCTTTTCAAAGGTAAGATTTACGCCCAAATAGTTGCATAAGCAAATAAAAGGTCCAAATATAGCCTACTCAGTAGAGGGCATCTGTATTTTTGCCACGACTATGTTGTCCAGCACTTTTAGATAATGGCAATGTTTAATCATTTGTCTGAAAAATACATCAGTTTTCTATCCTTTTGGTTAATCTGTTGATAAATGAAATTTTAAAGGAATTAGGCATATTTTTAAAAATAATATCAAGTAAGCCTAACAACTAGACAAAATGATAAAAAAATGGGTTTTCGCTGGTTGAAAAAACTAAGTTTTTGTATTGGAAGTTGTTGCTGAAATGAAATATTCCAATTATCTCTCAGATAGGCTTTTAGAGATTGAAATATCTGTTTTTGTAAATAACGAAGATTCATCTTGTTAACATTCGCTCATATTTGTGTAACAGATGTATTTAACAAAAAATCATTTTAATTCTTTTAGGTACAGGAGGTCAAGCATTTCCAATAACGTCACTGGAATTATTTACAGCGGCTGTAGAGGGCCTAAATGAAATGTTTTCTGGGTGCCAAACATCTACGCATGCGAAGCGCTAGTACTGATTGTGCGATAATACTTGCGCGGCTATGGGAATGCTCCTCACTGATTGGACAGACTTTTTAGGCCTTACTCTCCTCTAAATTAAAAAAACAATATGGAAAATCTTGGTAAAAATTATACAGATTGTTCGGACGAATGTCATTCAGCTCATACAGTCATAATTATTTTTACTTCAATAGTAATGGCGATTGGTATCCCAGGTAACAGCATAGTGATCCGAGTATTTCTTGCTAAGCATGACAAGTCAACCACCCACATGCTTATCCTAGCTCTTGCCTTCGTTGATCTCGTCAGTTGTTTCACAACACTACCTTTCATGTTAGTGTCATGTCCTAACTCACAGACCATTTGCAGGTTACAATTTCTTTTTACTGTGCCATGCATTTTAACGTCACTCCTCATCACTACTACGATCGCTATAGAACGCTACTTCGCCACATGCCGCCCGTATGAATTCAAGAAAATCATCACAGCATCCCGTACAAAGATGATTATTTGTTTGTGCGTTTTGATTCCAGTGCTGTTTTCAATCATCTTTACATTAATCATAACATTTGTTTTTGAAGATTGTATCGCTATGTCTAAAATGGACCATTGGTTCCCAAACGGTCTACTTGTACTGTATTTTATAACATTTACATTATGCTCAATAACTGTTCTGGTACTGTACATCCGTATTTTTCGAACGCTTAGACAGCAACACAAATTCGCGGCAATTCTGAAAGGGGAAGCAAAGGCTGATAGTTTTACTCAAAAGAAATTAAAAAAAGTTACAACTATCACCAAAGTGCTTCATGCACTACACCCGACAAGAGGGATAGACGTACCGGTAGACACGTCTTCGATTACTCAAACTACGTCGACGCCGCCGGAGGCTGGACCAAGCAAAATTGATACAAGCGAAAAGTGCATACACTTATTAAAGACGAGTAATAAGATTGAAGTCCGTTCGGCGATTAGACATGAGTTAGCCAACGGTAATCCAATTGACAGGTCTATGGAAAAGAGAAATAGTAAAGAGATCTTATTGAAAGAAAGTTATGTTCTTAATAAATCTCTTCGAGAAAATCCTGCATTAAGTCCACCAACACCAAAATATAATATTTCAACCCCACCAGAATGTATTATTTTAAATCCAATAGAAAATAGTCTTTCAACCAGATCAGAAAGTATACTTCCAGCGTCATCAGTTAAACCATCACCAGGAGAAGGCGCTTCGTCGTCATGGGAACTGACGAGTATCGGGCGCCAAAGCGTTACACAGGCGGATTATCCCCACAAATCGGTTACATTACCGGGAAGTGCAGAAACTGATGAACACGGTCATTATGATATTGGCCCTTTGGTAACGAATTCTAACGAACAGCAGACGAACCAGAAACATTGGATCGAAATAGGTGGTCTAATTGACGAAAATTTGTCAGCGACTCGATGCGACGTTGATGCGACAGACGGAACGCAACACTATGCTAGTGAAGAAAAAAATGGATTAAATCCAGTTGGTGAATCTACAATGAAACAAAGCGACACACAAGTAAATAGCATAATGATGCTTCGAAGTATGATAAAAAAGAAAATTACCCAAAAAAACAAACGCCAGACAGAATTAATTACATTAGAAACAGCACACTCATCGTGTACTATTAGACGAAACGGCGATACTAGAAAGCAAAGAACAACCTCAATGCTTCTGATCGTCAGTATGATATTTATAGTAACATGGCTGTCATTTTGGATATGTTCTATCATTGAATATGTCACGGATAGTCTTAATACAGACCCTACATTCATGTGTTTTAAAAGATTGTATATAATAAACACTGCATGCAATCCAATTGTTTACAGTTTTCTGAATTCGCGTTTTCGTAAGGATTGTGCCTCAACGCTGAGATTGTTTCAGTACTTTCAGCGATTTCGTGTTTATATAGGATCAAAGTTTTTCTGAAGAATATTTATACAATTCACCCTCCAATTCAAAACTATATTTGGAACCTCTAATAGTCAGTCAGGGGTCGGTCTCTAATTAAAGGTTTAGCTTTGTTTATTAAATATTTATAATACTGTAATTTGTTTTTCGAAGAGGTACCGTTTTTTTTTTTTTTTTTTTTTTTGGTCTTTTGGCCCATGGATGGTTTCCACTTCGAAAATAATTTTTGTGTCGAATTCAATACATAAATAAATTTTGAAGATTGTTGTGTACTTTTTGAGGCAACCATAGTGTTTAGTCGTCTCTGCAGGTACAGTAGTAAGTAAATTAGAGTGATATCGAAATAGACAGCGAACTTTTTTTACGTTACCTGATTGATATTTTAAACGCTGAACTTGTGGGAGACATTAGTGCGAAGTCGCAAATACGAATACGTCATCTTCATTATTATCATTCGTGCCTAAAACATATGAAATGATGAACAATATACGCGCTGAATATGATCGTTGATTCATTTAAAAGTCATGGTAATGGATCGCCTACGTTTTTGACAGTTCCGTATATGATGGATTTGACTAAAATAATGATGACGTAACCGCATTAGTTATCGTTTTTTTAAGCTTGCGAAACCTGCCTGCACACACCCGTAGCATTGAGGCTTGATCATTTTGCACCAGTTTTGTAAATCTGCAAAAAAAAACTGAATTTGATTTGTGCTTTAGTTTATATATTTTATCATTTTAAATGGACAATAAATTTCGAGATTTTACTTTAGGCAATTTGTATCTTCTGTTAGTGATTAATTACACTTGTCAATTCTCGGATTATGTGTTCGCTTTTGTTTTTTTCTATCAGTACTATTGTAGTTATTAGAGGTGGGCCTATATCAATATTTATCAATAAGGACCATTGTAGACATCATCAACCATCATTGTATTTAGAAATGTTACCGTGCAAATGGTAGATTCCAATATATATATATATATATATATATTATATAAAAAAAATAAAGTAAAAAGGAATATTAATTACATTTTAGGTGTGAGGGTGCAATTATTGGTCACCTTTATTTCGAATTCCTGGATCCTCCAATTGGCGCCCTCTATAGTATTACATTCGTTGCCTTTCGAGTACTTATTAATAAATCAATATTTTAATTAATTAACAGATACCTAACAATGTCTGCGGTACCGGTACATCGATGTATGTACTTGTACTATACAAACTGATAATATTAAATTGCTAAACCAATTATCAAAGACAACGCAGAGCGGTCTTAGCAACATCTTGAACTTATAGCGCGTATAGACATTAAGGACAACATTTGTAGACTATTATAATTAAACCTTGTTTCTGATTAGAGTTGTCGCCATGCAGCAGGGATGAGTAATGCATTCATGTTAAGCGTTTCTACAGAAACAGAAGCCTTTCCACAGAGTCTAATGTAATCGTTGAGTGGACAACTGTGCATGTAAAGCTATACAAGAATCGTTAAAATGAAAGTCGCGTTGACGTTAAAATACTGTTAAAGATACAAGAAATAGTATTAGTCTTCATATTAAAAAAAAAAAAAAAATAGTTTGCAGCTTTATGAATTAGAACATAAACATTTAAAAAAGAGAAATTTAAATTGCAAAAAAACATAGAGTGCACAAACACACACACACACACACACCTGTCTCTTATACACATCTAGATGTGTATAAGAGACAGCATTATTTATCTATGGTATTTTTCATATATTTTGGTTTAGTTCCGCTCGGCAGAACGAAGTACCTACGGGCGACAGCAAGTAAATAAGTGGCAATCTTCTTCCAATAGATCCTGTTAAATCTCTTATTAGATCAAGTTTAAGATCAACAAAGCAATCCATTGGTGCGTCGGATGTGTTTTATGGACAATCTATTGAATCCTCAAATACTAGGTGCTTTTCATGTGATCAAGGTTGATATATTATTTACGATTCAACGGTACAGTAAATTCCATACAAATCGAGAATCACCTTGACGGATTCTGATGCGTATTGTATCCTTTTCAATCAATACTATTTACTTCTGGTTATTGATGGGACAGGGAGGGGTGAAGGGCGTGCGGGGTTAATATTTAACTCTTTCGTAATGCGAAACTACCACTTTTTGCCTTGTAACATGCTAAGTGTAAGTTTAACTAATAAATAGGCATGGCCACGACCTCACTTTATTATTCCGCGTGAAACAGATTCTAAGAGCCAGCGAATTCATTATTTCCATTTCATTAAATTGACAATCAGTAACCTAGGTTTTCACTGACAAATCGGTCTATCTATCGATATTTAAAGTACGCCTATGTTTTGGACGGCAATCGTTTTGGTGGACTTGGCACTGTATGGTAACACCTGTCTCTTATACACATCTAGATGTGTATAAGAGACAGGTATTACAACATGTTCGTTTGAGTGGGGCCTATTTGAACTTATGCCAAAGCGACAAACGGTAGGCACGTTACTTTCATGCAGCCCTCTTTTGGTAAAACACTCTGGCGTGAAATGTACACGATGAGTTCAAATTTGGGTCAAAATATCGCACTAATAACTTGTAAAAAAACTACTGAACTGACGAAAAGAATAGCACCACGAATTACGGTATATCAACCCATAGGCCAATCAATATTAGGCCTATTATTACTACTGTCATCATCGTCATCAATATTGTTATCATCATCCTTATTATCGAATAGTTCAGCTAAAATAACCTACGTTATTTGTGTGTGTGTTTCGTGTTAGGCTCCTGCACATTTTGGTTCAGTTTTATTGTGTTTATTAAAAAGGAAATACATAGGCTCAATAGTAAAATTGATTTATATAAAATAACTATGTTTAGATTAAATTCGCTTATTTTATTATTAAAACCTAAGTGTGCTATAATTACCATACGCCAAGAATATACTGACAGTGTAACACAATAGTCATAATAAATCCACAAATCCAAGTCTTAGAGCGTTTTTTCACATTATTACGCCACTAACAAACAAGATACGTGCTGCTGCTGCTGATGTTGTTGTTGTTGTTAAGAACGAATCATACCTGTATTAACTTAAATCAACAAGATAAAGTCTGTACCTGATATTCTGACGGTAGAGCTCAAATCGGATTCGCTTTACTCTCAGTAATACTCTCCGCTGCTGTTCCGTTTTAATTTTAAATAGTTTTGCATTATGTGGCCGTTTGCTGTTTTATGGGTTTTTCCCATTTGCCTTATAAAATTTATATATTATTAAAGAATATCTATTGAGATCCAGCGGGCCGCCATTGATGCACGGTAGAGATTGCATCTTTAGATCTCCGATCTTGTTCACAAATTAACGGAATAGTGCTGTCTCGTAAGAATTTCGTAGGACGCGTTAAGAATGACAAAATATTCTCTGTATCTACTGGAACCGATCCACATAGCTTGTATTCCACTATTTGCATTCACACCTGGGCTGTGCATATATATTGCCTTGGTTTGGCTCTGTAAACATTAGTGGTCGTGGGACTAGTTTGGGCCCTACCTAAGCTGGTCGAACGTTTCGTTTGGGTCTATACCCTAGCTGCACTGATGAGGCTTGGAAGGCCGAAACGGATCCGTATGCAGATATTGGGATTCCTTCCAGTGGATGCTTAGTTTATTTTGTCATTCTGATCGGATTTTCTCTACTGTTCCGTTTTAATTTTAAATAGTTTTGCATTATGTGGCCGTTTGCTGTTTAATGGGTTTTCCCATTTGCCTGTTAAAATTTATATATTATTAAAGAATCTCTATTGAGATCCAACGGGCCGCCATTGATGCACTGTAGAGATTGCATCTTTAGATCTCCGATCTTGTTCACAAATTCACGGACTAGTGCTGTCTCGTAAGAATTTCGTAGGACGCGTTTTAAGAATGACAAAATATTCTCTGTATCTACTGGAACCGAGCCACATAGCTTGTATTCCACTATTTGCATTCACACCTACCTGGGCTGTGTATATATATTGCCTTGGTTGGGGACGGACCATTATTCCGAAGGTCCATTGGTCCGAAGGTCCATTGGTCCGAAGGTCCATTGGTCCGAAGGTCCATTGGTCCGAAGGTCCATTGGTCCGAAAGTTTAAGATAGGACACAATAAGATAAGGTACCATATTTAAAAAATAGAAACAAGCACCATAATTACAATCACACAAAATCACATATGGATGACAGATACCCTATCAAAGATGAGATCGGGATTCAGTGAGATTCCATCAGAATGACCCCATGCGCCGGAATTTTGTTCAGATTCCTCGGGATGGGCGGGAATTCATTTTGCAAAATTACGGGATTTTGAACGCAATAACTGGATCGGCCGGATTTGGAAAAATTACGGGAATTTCTAAAGTCAGGATCGGCGGGATTTTTTACGCAATTTCTGGATCGTCTGGATTTTGTTTATAATTACTGGGGTTTTTTTTTTACATAATATCGGAATCGGAGGAAATTTGTTTGTACAATTTCTGTATTTTCAATAACGATTATCACCGGAGGACCATCGTGGCTGGCTGAAACTAAACCGGCTTTAGAAAATCCCGTAATGTTACCAAATCCCGCCGATCCAGTTATTGCGTACACAATCCCGTAATTCACTGGTGATAATATTGACAACAATGAAGTTTTAATCGAAGTTCATGAAATCTGTAGACTTGATAGGCAAGGTGGTATATTACTTTATATTAAAAATGGTACTCTATTAAAGAAATGAACATGTTTGACGAAGATGGAAAGCACTATGTGTACTATGGGTATTCATATATTGTGTCCTCTGGTTATTTTTCCCTCCATTCTGACTCGACTTAATCATCTAAAATTGCACATTAGTTTCCTTGAATAGAATCTTTATTATCTTCATGATTTTATCAAGAATGTACGCACCAAAAAGAATGTTGTACCTAGGATAAAAACTGTGTGAACGTTAACAACAGACTATAACTATGGAAGGAAATAGCATTTTAATAATTAAGAAAGCTATAACAGACATTATATTATATCAACCATATTGTTAGAAATAACCTGTGTTTTTTTTTCTTCTTCTCTTGTTTAATAATGACTGATAAGCCGCGGATTCAGAGCGGGGCTAAACAGGCTTTAGCCCCCACCCCCAAAATAAAAAAAAGCGATAAAAGAAA